TCACTGGGTCCCTACCAAAAGATGACAGGAAAGCTCAAGCACCTGAAAAGAAAGGTCTGCGGGTAGTGAGCACTGAGAAAGGGCATCTCTCAGGGGACAGTCCTTGCCTGCCTAAGTTTAAGAGGTCAAAGCTGCATCAAAAAGTCATCCCATCTGAAGTGGGAGGGGTAGGAAGAGGAAGGCTCATAGCCTGGGACTGTTCCACTGTCAGCCACGGGCAGAACTGGCAGCTACTTAAACTGTGGGATAGGGCAGGGAGATGGGAGGCTGAGTTGGAATTCTACCCCACAAAAGAAAAGGGGTGGAAGAAGGCCCTCATTTTAAATTGTTGGCAATCCTTTGAGAGTCACAAGTGAAAGCTCAAAATAGTGTTTGCTATACTTCTGTCTGTTTTTCTGTATAGACTTATATTTTCTTCTCACTGAAAAAGAAATGCATGATAGCTCAACCTCTGCAGGTTCCAACCTAAGGTTGAGTCTGAATTCATCCCTGATGATAAGTATTTGTTGCACTATTTAAAACAGATTTTCACCTGCTTATGTGAAGCTTGTCCCTGTACTTTCTGCTAGAGACTCAGAGACCACATAAGATATAGTACTGCAGCTTTGTGGATGCAACGGAGTACACCAGGATTTTCATCCCAAGCACATGCTAGAAAAAGCGTGGTAGTTGTGTTCATTGTTTATGTGGTCCTGCATAGCCTTACCGTACAAGTAAAATGCTCATCCCAAGGGGGATTGATGGTATGGCGAGTGCTCCATCAAGAAGCTCAGTCAAGGACCACATGGGAAATACAATGTGTGATGGAAGAACAGGGCCGTGTAGGACGCGACTGAAACGCTCAATGGTGCCTGAACCCCTCTGAGGTTTATGTCATCAGTAGGTTTGGCAATACAGCATGTTTGCAGGTGGACACCTGTGTAAATCTGAAGGATCGGCCAGGGGGTATCGCTAATGAGGACCTAGTCATCGGTGACACCAGGTGACGAGGCTGAGTTCACCCAGTCAGGAAAATGATGAACTTGAAGAGGTGCCTAAATGGATCGCTAAGTGTTTCAAACATCTTTTCACGCCAGCTGCGTAGAAATCTCTGAAATGTCAGCGCTGGTTAGCTCACCATCTGTGTTATCCCCCTCGCTCTTCCCCTCCTCCCGCCTTTATTTTAAGGCTTCTTATGTTGCCAGAAGAAAAATGACTCTTCAATATTTTCGGCGTGTTATTGGAAAGTTAATTCCAAAGTGCTTTTTTTTTTGGTTCCAACTCATGCTATGTAAAGCACATATAATAATACTTAACATTTACTCAGCCTACTTACTAATCATTAAAGAATACCAACTATCAAAATAATCCACAGTTAACTGAAATTAAGTAATCACATATTAAAATTACACCGCAATATTGCTCAGCTCTCAGAACAGATGGAGAAGTCAAGCAGAGAGTTTTTAGATCGTTTATTTCAGCAACTTTTTAATTTTGTTGCTGCTTAATTTTCAGAAATTCGCTAAGATAATTGCTGAGTGATATCATACTCTGTGCTTAGGTATGCACTGCTGAAACATAGCTTTTTATTTTTATGTCCTCCCGTGAGATCTGCGGATCCAGTCTCAGCTAGGAAGCCAAGATGAAAACATCTTGATGACAGTGCAGGAGGTCTGGCCAGACTTCTCTCTCCACTGCTTCTCATGGTGCTGTGGTAAATGAGTGTGGCTGTCGGGTGCCAGCTTTATCTGCTCTTTGTATCCTTTTTTTCCCACAACCAGTTAAAAACAAGAGCAATCCAGATGGCTCACCTTTAGTTGGAATGACTGATGCAAGGAGCTGTACCGAGAAGATAAAAGGCCTTTAATGATAGCTCTGGAAATATAAAGAGTTCCCAAGGAGGTGTAACCATTTTAATAAGCGTGGAGTTGGTCACTAACCCTGCCAATTGCTACTGAGGGAGATGATGGAGATGCACAGCGCTGCTCCCTGAGCTCAGTGAGAACCTGACATGGACCGTAAGAGCATCCTCCTCTTGAAAGGGTAAAAGTCCAGAGAAATGCAGGGACTAAAGAGCTGGAAGAACTCAGAAAATGCCTGACAACAAGAAGCACAAAGTCAAGCTGGACACAAGCATCTCCCTTTCAGGGACACACTGCGATGCTTGAACAATTCTTTCACTGAGTGAAATAGGTGACAACTGGCAAGGGCTGTGAGACTGGACTGGCTCATAGGTTAAAATTCTTCCTGCATCTTACTCTGAGATCCTAATGCTCTCATGAGGTTTCACCACGCATGAAATGACTTCTGCCTTGATATCATGAGCTTTCAATGCTTTCAGTTAAGAAAAAGTTATTTAAAAACTTCAAGGTTTAAAATTATGTACATCTAGAATATAAAAAGCGTAGACTGCCCTATGATATACATGCTATTATAGAAAAGACCTGCCACATACTTGCTGCCCAGAGGTAACAGGTTGGTCAAAGATGTGACAAATCACCCACAATTGAGACCTTCCACATCACATTTCATTACTGAAAAGCAGATAAATAACATGTTTCTCTCTATGCTTTATGTATGCCACAAAAATACCGCGGGTATTACAGTTTCATTGTGGAGCCCAGTTGGTTCATGCTTGTAAACCTGACTTTCTAAGTTTGAATGGCACCATTTTTAATCTGTTTTGAAAATTTTTTTGAATATTTTATTCTGTCACAGCTGTTTTAATTAATGTTGAAACCAACAACCTCTGTTTGGAGGCTAGATTGGAGGATTTCCTGTGACCAAGTCCAAAATTGTACTTCACCTTTCATTTTACCTTGCCTTCTTTTGCTCTGCTCTGTAGCACCCGTTTCTGCTCTGGGATTCTTGTGGCCTCAGTCTTAATCTTAATCCAAGCAAAGGCTGGCCATGCCCAACCTGGTCTCTACTTGGCAATGGGAATAGAATAACACAGGGTTTTCTGAACTGCAGTGGGGGTATGTGACCAAGGGCTTGAGCCGCAGAGACTTGCAAACCCTTCTTAAACCTCCTTGCAGCTGGTTTTGCTGCAGCTATGAACGGTGGTGTAACACCTGGATAGGCATGGGAGAACACACAGCAGCGGGACACCATGCAGGACAAGGTGCTGCGGGCACACATTGCAGTGAAGGAAAGTCCCACTAGAGAAAAGATCTTTACCATTGAGGGGGGAGCACAAGTGCAGGCTGACCCCAAGGAAATCCTTTGAGTGGTTGATGCTGTCCCTGCTCTGAGCCGGTGGTGGGACCAAAGAGATGCCCCAGACCTGACCTCCATGGGACCCTTCCAAATTACACTACTCTGAGCTCCGTGTTTCAGAAATCCCAGGAAGCGATGGCTTCGGTTGTTTACAGAGACACAAGGTGTCCGCAGCTTGTCTTGGTAACAGTGTTTAGCCTGCGGGAGGACACGGATAGGGATGGATGTGATGGATCCTGACATCTAATTCCCTTTGAATGTGCCCACCTTTCACCGCGGCACGGCTTGTGTGCCGTCTTCATTTGGGCTGTCCAAGACACCAAACACATTTTCTTCTGATGGATTTTTTGAAATTGCTTCTAAATGGTTTGCACACTGTTCCCATAACCGAGAGGTCATTTCATCTCCATGTCCTTTTGATCAGCAGCCACAGAACAAACGTGCTCCCTCAGACTGGGGAGGGCACCTTGTGGCTTATCCCCTCATGGAAACGGTCTGCTGCTGGTGCCCGTTTGGCACCGGGTCTGGTAGCCACTGGCAGGAGGCAGGTGCCCTCTGCTGCATCCGTCCACGTGCTTTAGAGGGGAAATACGGTGGCTGCTGGCTCGTTGCGAGATGCAAAGGGTGAGAGGAGGAGAGAGCTGGTCATTTTTATGACCATGCAATGGGCTCTTCTCTGGTTTGACCTTAACGTTTTTTGGGGACCTCAGGAAATATTTCGGAGGGGGGGACCTCAGAAAATAGTGCGGATGTTTTCACTGGTGAACAGCTTGTTACCCCTGCTGCATACATGGCCCGGGGAGGGTGAGCGTGAAGCTGGCTTTTCCACAGCAATTCAGAGGGCTTTTGGGAAATGTTGACATCGGGCGGCATGCAAAGCTCCCCCCGCTGGGTTTGGAGCCGTTACAGCAAGTGCTGTATGAACACAAAACTTGCCATCATTTCTGGCAGCCCAGAAAGCCAACCGCATCCTGGGCTGCATCAAGAGAAGTCAGGGAGGTGATTCTACCCCTCTACTCTGTGCTCCTGAGACCCCCACCCGGAGTACTGTGTCCAGCTCTGGAGTCCTCAACACAGGAAGGACATGGACCTGTTGGAACAGGTCCAGAGGAGGGCCACGAAGATGATCAGAGGGATGGAGCACCTCCCCTACGAAGACAGGCAGAGAGAGCTGGGGTTGTTCAGCCTGGAGAAGAGAAGGCTGCAGGGAGACCTTTTAGCAGCCTTCTGATATCTGAAGGAGGCTACAGGAGAGCTGGGGAGGGACTCTTTGTCAGGGAGTGTAGTGACAGGACGAGGGGTAATGGTTTTAAACTGAAAGAGGGTAGATTTAGATTAGATATCAGGAAGAAATTCTTTGCTGTGAGGGTGGTGAGGCACTGGAACAGGTTGCCCAAAGAAGCTGTGGCTGCCCCATCCCTGGAGGTGTTCAAGGCCAGGCTGGATGGGGCTTGGAGCAACCTGGTCTGGTGGGAGGTGTCCCTGCCCAGGGTAGTGGGGTTGGAACTCGATGATCTTTGAGGTCCCTTCCAACTCTAACCATTCTGTGATTCTATGATCTTCCCCCCAAACCGCGCTGCGGGTGTGCCTCAAGGCGGGAAAACCTTCTGGCCAGCGCGGGAAAAAGCCGCGGGGAGAGAGCGGGGGGGGGCGGCAGCTTCGGGGCGGGGGGGTGTGTTCGCTCCGTCTTT